TGATTTTCAGGGTCCATCTCTCCAGCTCTGGGAAGGTGGTTTTGCTTCTTTCTGGTCAGTGCCTTGCTGCTGGTTGGAGGAAGTTCCTGTTTGGCTTTGTGAGAAGCGTCTGGTTGATTTCCTGAGTGGCTGCGGCTCCTGCTGGGATCTTGCTGGGATCTTACTGGCCTGGTATTCTGCACAGATCAGCCTCTGAGCTGGCACTGTAACCAACCCCGTCCTCTGAGCTGTGAGCACGCTGGGTCCATACTTCACTCAGGCTCGTGTAGCTTTCTCCCAGCGATGCCTTGTTGTCATCCACTTTAAAATTAGCTTGCTCATTTCCAATTATAAAGTAACACTTGTTCACTGGGGAGAATTGTGAAAAGACCGAAAAGTACAGAAACTCTGTGGGCGTTGGGGGTGGGAATCTCACCCCACCACACAGAAACAAGAGCAGTTGGCACAGGCTTCCCCTACGCCTGGGTCTCCGTCCTCTTTATGTGTACTTGTTACCATGCGAAGTCACGTGGCCTCGATCACGCAGCCTCACCCTTCGTCAAATGCTCGGCGCACGCTTTGTGGTTTTCCGTTGACGGGCAGAGCACATCTGTCACACGCACACTGTGCGTGTGAGTCCCCCGCTGCTACGGGCGGGGAGGGCATCGGAACTCTCCCCATTCCACTTCTTTCTTGATGTACCCCTCCACCCCCTCACTAACCTTGCATCCTGCAGCCTTGCTAGCTTCTCTTGCTTGTTTCTGCTTTTGAGAAACAGCCCGGGCTTCGTGGATGGTGGAGGTGGGGATTGAGTCATCCGGCCAATTTGCTGTTTAAATTCCTAGACACTAAATTGCTGGGTTGCAGGTCACAGAGCATTTAGAATCCTCGCTGCCAAATTGCTTCCAAAAACGTTTTCTAATTTACATACAGCAGAGCCCAGCTCTTCAGCCAGTCAGTCGGAAGACATCACAGGAGAGTTCCCAGACATACAATCCTCCTCCTCCACCTCCACCTCCACCTCAGCAGTCCGGTGGGGGCCTGAGCATCAGCAGGGCTGAGAGGTGCCAGGAGAGAGTCCCCGTGTGCGTGACCAGTTGTGGGAGGACACGTAAGCACTGGGATGACCAAGAGCTTCTTCCACCAGCGGAAGACTAGCAAGCTGTGGAGACCATGGCCTCCCACGTCCCCTCCCACTGCCCGTCCACATTCCTGTGGGTCCCTCTGACTTCCACAACTGGGGGACCTTGGCCTCGGTCAAGATGAACCATGTGACACTTTTTTCCTCACTCGAAACAGCCACACCGTAGCAATTCTGTGTGCCTCAGTCTACCTAAGCACAGTGGGAGTTGAGCCAGCCTAAGTCCGGGAGTCCCAGTTCCGCTCAGCTCCTAGGGGCACAACGCTGGGAAGGGGGTTGGCCCTCCGCTTGCTTAGCAGTTCACCAGGGCTGGGGAACCAGCCAGGTCCTGCCCTCGGGGTGTCTACTCTGGTTGGGGAAACCACTCTCTCCTCTCCTCCTCCTCTACCCTGACCCTCACCTTCTCACCCTCTCCAGAAATCAAAAAATTCTCCAGTAGCCCTGGCAGCGTAGACGCAGCTCCATCCCACCCTTCACCCCCCACCTCCCCCTGCCCGCCATAGCCAAGGAGCTCCCTGGCTTGATGTTCCTCGAGGTTGACCCTCCTCCTTGTGGAACCATGGTCCAGAATGTGGGGCCAGGCTGGGCCACTGGGCTCTGCCCGGGTGAGAAGTGGGCCTGGACCCCTAGAAGGTACTCCTCACACATGTCGTGGTCAGCCCTGTTTCGTTTGTGTCCTAAGAATGCGACCGATGCAACCCGGGATTTCTCAGAGCTGGACCACTTCAACTTGGTTAAGCGTATTCACTGACACCCCCTGCCCCCGTGACCACCCCTGCCAATCACGGCCTGCTTAAGAAGAGTCAGCGACAGGAGAGTCTTGCTTTGCACCAAGTGCCTTTGTTCTGAACACTGCTGTGGAGAGATCTGGCATCAGCCATGTCCTCCCTCCTCGGCCTGTGTGGCTGTGACGTTTACTCCGGGCCTGTCTCTGCTCAGCCTGCTCCAGTTTCTTTTCACTCACCTGCACCCAGTGTCTGGGAATCTGCAGATATCAACCAAGCGCCCTTCACCAAGGGGTTCTGCTGGCCTCTGCATACAGAGGCACTTGTGTGGGACTGGAATTCAGGAGCTGAAAGAAGAGCCAGGCCCTGAATGACTTTTCACAGGGCAAGGTGTCGTGACCTCCCCCCACCCCCAGGCTGTGCCACAGGTTGGGCCTGTGGACCAGCTCCATTCTGTAGGCCTTGTGGCTACCTACAGCTGAAAGTCCCTGGGCAGCATGTCCAGGCCTCCTGAGCTCTGCACAAACTTGGCATCAAACCTCTCTGGACCAGTCATTACTGATCCCTCTGCACCAAGCTGAGCAGGAAGGAGCACTGGTAATGTACTGAACAGAATCCAGCTGACAGTATGGCAGCCCTACCTGTCATTGGTGTCAGCACTGACACTGACCTGGGAGGACATGCCAAGATATGTGCAGTGGTTGGTCACCTCCATGGTGCCCTTTACCAGGGAGCAGGAGGGCACAAGTCCAGAATGGCTCCGGCAGAGAGATGGGCTGATGTTCGGAGGGTGGGGAATTGATGCTGGAATAGGGTGAGTGCTCTCAGACTGGAGTCTGTATGACTTTAACTTTCTGTTGAGGGCTCAACAGTGGGATTTCTCATCAGCTTACTTGGGTTCCAGGCCAAAATGGGAAGAGAGGGGACCAGTCATGGTTAGCAAACATCGTAAGTGGAACCAGACTCTACTCTGCTCGGGAGCGGTCCTCATCAATTAGACTTGCCTGTAGTAACAACCTGGCTAGCCCGTATCATGCCGCGGTCACCAAAGCTATCATCTTCAAGTGTCTGGAATAAAGGGCTGCAATCAGCTGTGAGGGTGGTAGACCCATCGTGAGGTTCAGTGCATAGACCGCCTCACCCTGGCACAGTAGATAAGCAGGTATGGCTGAGCACAGGGTTACGGCTTGGCTTGATGCTGCTGCTGCTGCTGATGATCTGGGCCAGGCCTGGCTGGCCCTTGTGACCTTATTTAGGATGACCCCACCTCAATTCTGGAGTTGGTTGACCTTGAGCTACCTCAACCACCCTCCAGCCGATTGGCTTGGGTTTGCTGAGCAAGGCAAGGAGAGGGAAGTTTCAGGGCCGCTAGGGCTACTAAGTCCTCCATCCTTCCCTCTCTCCCTCTCTCCATCCTCCCCTCTCTTCCTCTCTCCATCCTTCCCTCTCTCCCTCTCTCCCTCTCTCCATCCTTCCCTCTCTCCATCCTTCCCTCTCTTCCTCTCTCCATCCTTCCCTTTCTCCCTCTCTCTCCCTCTTCTTTCCTTGCTTGCTTCCTCAATTTTATTGAAGTATATTTTACATACATAAAATTAATTTGTTTTAGGTAGCCAATTAAATTATCTTTCATAAACGTAGGTTCATACATGCTAACAGTAATCTGATCTCAGATCACCTCTACATGACAGAGGACATGCCTGCTCATGGGCAGTCACTTCTGTGTCCACCTTCAGATCCAGAACCACCAAATATTCATCCCATCTCTGGATTTATCCTTTCTAGACATTCTGTATAAACGGAATCACTGTCTTTTATCTTTCATTCAGCATAATGATACGTGGTACCAGGACCAGAACCTTGTTGGATGCTGATGTGTGGTGGACCAGACATCATCCATCCCCAGGAGAAGCAAAGAGACATTTCTAGCTTGGGTAGTCATCGATAACAGTTATGAGTGTTCATGAACAAGATTATGTTGGCATAGAAGTTTGTTTCTCCTTTTCAACACCTAGGAGTGTAAGTGTGGAAAATCTGTGCCTAACATTTGAAGGCTCTACAAACATTTCAGAGCAGCTTCTGTGCCTTCCCAGGCCCACGAACAACATGTAAGCGACTCTGCACAACCTCTCTATGCCTCATGGCTGTCTGTCTCTCTACAGCCATCCCCGAGTGCAATGTGGGGTTTCACTGTGGTTTGGATTTGCATTTCTCTATCAATGTTGCCACTGGAAAAGCATCTGTATGTGTATTTTGAAGAAATATCTGTTCAAATCTGTTGGCCATTTTTATTTAAGTTTTTGAGACAGAGTCTCATTAAGTAGTCCTGACAGGTCTGGAACTCACTCTGTAGACCAAGCTGGCCTTGAACTCACTGAGATCCATTTGTCTCTGCCCCTAAATGCTGGGGTTAACAGTGTGCACCACCACATCCAGTTTAGCTATTTAAAAACAAGATTTATTTTTTATCTAATGTATACAAGTTCTTACTAGCACAGCATTTTACTGTGCGTGCATGCGTGCGTGCGTGCGTGCGGTGCCTGGGGCCAGAAAAGGATGTTGGATGCCCTGAACTGGAATTACACATGCTTGTGAGCCCCCTTGTGGGTTCTGGGAACGGAACCCAGATCCTCTGCAAGAGCAGCAAGTGTTCTGCTCGACCATCATCTCTCCAGCCCCTGGCCTTTTGTTTTTATCGTTGAATTGTATGGTGTACACACAGTTATGGATTCAAGTTCTTTATCAGACAAGGACTTGACTATTTCTCCCATTTTGTATGCTGGCATTCTCCAGTGAAAAATCAATTGACCATAAATGTGTTGGATGATTTCCAGACTCTCAGTTCTAGTCCATTGATCTCTATTGTCTTTTTTTTTTTCATTATCACATTGTATTGATTTCTGTAATTTACTATAGTAAATTTGTTTTTGTGTGTGGTATGCATGTTTGTACATGCATACGGAGGCCAGAGTAAGACATTTGGTGTCTTCCTTAATTGCTCTCCACCTTACTTTTTTTTTCTGTATGTGTTGGGGTTTTTTTGTTTTTTGTTTTTGTTTTTGTTTTTCGAAACAGGGTTTCTCTGTGTAGCTTTGCGCCTTTCCTGGATCTCACTCTGTAGCCCAGGCTCAGGCTGGCCTGGAACTCACAGAGATCTGCCTGGCTCTGCCTCCCGAGTGCTGGGATTAAAGGCCTGCGCCACCACTGCCCAGCTCCACCTTACTTTTTGAGACAAGGTCTCTAAACTGATCCTGCAGCTAGCAGTTTGGCTCGGCTGGTAGCCATCGAGCTCCGGGATCCACCTGCCTCCCCTTTCCTGGGTTCAGCGGCATGCTGCCATGTCCAGATTTCCTCATGGATGCTAGAGAGCCAAACGCAGACTTCGGCAGACGCGTCACCAGCGGAGTCATCTCCCCAGCCTCTACCGCAGACGTTTCCTAAGTCAGAACGCTGTTTCTTTGTTCATTTGGAGTATTTGGGCACCTTCAGATGAATTTTAGGATCAGCTGCTAATTTCTGTAGGAAACAAAACCAAAAAGAGCCAGTGGAGATTGTTGTGATGCGTTGCAGATGAATGTGGGTATTCATGCCACCTTGTCAGTACATCAATCCATGGACACAGGGTCCCTTTCCACCCACATCTTCCTCTGCCTGTGCTGTGTGACAAAACTTTTTGGGGAGACACCACACACACTTCTACTCACCCCAGATAGGGGAACCCACGACAGACCAAAGTATGGTTACTACCAAAGTCCAACTTGGGGAACTGTGAGTTTTATTGGGGTTACTTACAGGAATATAGGTAATGGTGTTACACAAGCAGAAATGACAGCTTTGCCACCAAAGCACACACCAGTGTGGGTGACGACAGCTCACAATGCTGGCAACGTGGAACACATCACACAGCCTGCAGGCAGCTCCACTGACTGAAGAGTGCCCTTTCCAGGTGCCTCAGTGGGTCTAACCCTCTTCCAGGCAGCTCAGCCGGTTTTTGCCTCCTCGGGGCAGCTGGTGTGACCTCAGAATCTTCTTTGCGCTTTGCTTCTCTTAAATCCTAGGGGAATTCTCAGTTTTTATTGATTACTCTGGAGGGGAGGGGCCTAGTGAATCTAGTCAATTTCAGGAACTTCCTGAAGCTATTTAGAGTTGTTTGCCTCCCTGCTTAAGGATGTAATGTTTCAATCTCAGAGGAAACTGTTACATAACAGCAGCTTCTTCCATCACCATGTGCTTTCCTGTGTGATCGTTATGTTCCTGCCTCAAGAGCCCAGGCGTGGAACTGGGACCTGACATGCTCACTGAAATTTGTTATAAAGTTCTGGGGTACGCCCAGTTGATCCAAGTGGGGAACTGGGCTGCACCTGGTGGTGGGAGACAGTGCGAAGCAGAGTGTGGATCCCGGGTGTGGTGAGATTACGCCTGTTTCTGAAACCTTAGGGCTGGTGGGACTGATGATGGAGGACCACGGGTCAGGCCCCTTCAGATTCTCACAGGGCTCACCGGAGGCTCCCGCTGGTTCTGCTGTCAGTCAGTATGTCTGTGGGGGGTCTGGTTGGTTCTTGCTGGCCTGGTGCATGGCTCTAGCCTTGGACTGCCTTGCGGTTTCTGTCTGGGGCTGACTGGTGCTTGCTCACATGCTGCCAGCCCCTTCGAGCACCACAGCAGCAGCTGTTCGGCTGTCCTTCAGATGGGTCTTTTTCCCAAGGCTGGTCACGAGACTGGTTCCCATTCATGGGAGGTGAAATGGCTTGTCACTGGCCATTTCTGAGAGACAGCTGAGGCCCCTATTCTTATGGAAAGCATGGTGCTCTTCATTCACATCTCCCCTGTCTTAGCCTGGGCCCTTCTGTCCGATGTGGCAGTCTCAGGCCCCTGGGAGGCCAGGTGTTGGACCCAACTGAAGCCTAACTCTTCAATGTGTGGGTCCAGAAGTGACTGCAGGCACTCCTGAGCTGGATTCCAGCGGGCAGTGGTTGCAGATGTCAGGGCTCCCGGAACCCACAGGATACAGTGGTGAGGCAGTGGCCCGAGTGATCATCTCGTGCACCTGACATACCGTGGAGTTGGGGATGAGAGAGGGCCCAGGACAGTGACACTAGGAGCCCAGAGTGAGAAGATGGACCAGCTCTGCTGAGCCGCACCGAGTGTCAGGAAGTACGGTGATGCAATAGGGGTCTTGAGTGCTTAGCTTGAGCCCTGCCTGGCGTAGACATGCTCCTATAGTCACTGTAGCTCAAGGCTGCTGAGGCCCTGTGCTCCAGAGGCACATGCAGGAGGGATGCACGGTTGATGCAGATTGATACACACACACACACACACACACACACACACACACACACTCCGCCAGTCCCTTAGGAGAGTTTGGGTCCTGGCTGGCAGAGTGGGATTCCAGAATTGTGAGAGCAAGGAGGGAGCCATCAAAACCTCCTCCCGAGCCCCCAGCCTGCCCTGGCTTGTCAGACGACCTCGCGATGACCTCACCTGATGCAGTTACTTTGCAAGCAGGTGCTGATCCTCCCCACACTTCCTCACTGCCACCCTCACTGCTTGCAAACCTGCAATTAGCATCAGATCCCAGCATGTCCCAGGGGGATAAGTACAAACCTAGTTTGGGAAAAGAAGGCTTCCACATCAAAAGCTTTGCAAGGCTTGCCATTTATAGGGTTAGAAGATGGGGTTGCGTGGGAGGGAAGAAGGGGCGCGTGGGCTTGGGGCCCTTCTGTGCAGGAGTGCGCTCTCTCTCTCTGTCTCTCTCTGTCTCTGTCTCTCTCTTTCTCTGTCTCTCTCTCTCCTCACCTAATGATTTTAGCTGGAGTTACCGGAGGTGTTGCTCTCTTTCTTTTTGGTGCCAGTGACCTCCAGGGGTGAGGGTGAGTTGTTAAGGATGCTGTGGCCTATTAGAAAAGGATGCCAGAAGCAGGAAAGAGGCTGGGTGGTGGTGGCACACCTCTAATCCCAGCACTCGGGAGGCAGAGGTAGGCAGATCTCAGTGAGTTCGAGGCCAGCCTGGTCTACAGAGTGAGTTCTAGGACAGCCAGAGCTACACAGAGAAAACCCTTTCTTGAAAAACAAACAAATAGCCGGGCGGTGGTGGCACACGCCTTTAATCCCAGCACTCGGGAGGCAGAGCCAGGCGGATCGCTGTGAGTTCGAGGCCAGCCTGGGCT